TTATAAGATTAATAAATAATATATATTCAAAATATTTCTATAAAAACTAATAAATTATCTTGATAAACTACGACAAAAATTTTATTTGTAAATTGTAAAAAGAATTTACACTACATTTCAAATGTAAAGAACAAATTTGAGAGTCATAAATTATATATTTAAAAAATATTATCATTATTATAGATTTATAAAAAGATATAATGTAATTTAAAAATAAAAACTTATTTTTTTAAAATATACTAGCCCATGGGCTAGCCCGTCTTAGCCTGCTAAATTTGTGAGTTGGGCTAACCCAGCTCGTTTTAAAAAGAAGCCAATTTTTTCAACCTAACCCGTCAAATTGTGCAGGTTAAATGGGCTAGCCCATGGGCTCAACCCATTTTTCTGGCTCTACATGTGCTATAGTGTACACCTACTGTCATGATAGCGGATTGTTATCATGACAGCACTCTAAACTTTTGGAGTGCGCCGTTTTACCATCTGATGTTTGATTTGAACGATTCAAGTGTCCACACGAAGCTCATCGAGCCCTTTAACTAATGACACTAGTTTCACACTCAAATAATCTTTTATTTAAAAGATGGACACCTGAACCTAAAATGATTTATTTTTACCTCAAAACACTTTCAAAGGTCCCTAAATCACACTACCATATGCCATTAGCTTTGAAATTACTTTGACCACCTCAAATGGACCACACATAACATGGAAGATCATTGATATCACACAATTAAGCATTCGTACTCAAAATGACTATCAAACCCCTAATTCACCTCAACACAAAGGGGTGGATAAAACTTATCACACATATCAATTTGGTCATTTTGACACCTAAATTGCATCAAATATATCACTTGTAATTGTATCTTGATTACAATAGTATCAACCTTAGGCCAAGATATACACACATATTACAAACTCATACAAGTAATAACAAAACAATGTCATGTTTCTAAGTTGGCATTATATAATCATAATATTCATTACAAACCCAAAAAAAGGAAAGGGAGGAGCTATACAACAATACTCTTTATTTTTCAGTCACCCTTTCTTTTTTCTTGCCCCTACCGAAGCCCTCACCTGTAAAATATAACCACGGGGTGAGATAAACATCTTAGTAATAAAATAATTCACTACTATTAATTAACATGCACAACTATAAGAGAGTAAAGTTATTAAGCACCAAAACACACTTTTAGCATATTACAACATACTCGTTTCCATAAACGTAAATCATTTACCACTAGCATGATCATTCTACCATTCAAACCTCTATATCACGCCGACTGAAATCATAGGCTCCTGAACCAAGTGCACATTCACAATAGTCCGAGGTTATCTTCAGTGGTAGGATCACTCAACCAAAGGTGTCCTAGCCCACTTTCAAACTATGGTCTCTCCCTATCGCACACAAATTAGGGTGTCATTACTCTAATACTGTATCATTGATGCTAAGGAGTGTTACTTTCCAACGCTACATCCCGCATAGATACTAAGGAGAAAATCTCTAATATCATGCCTCACTAGACACTAATGAGATAAATGCCATATGAACTTCCACTACTCCTTCCAATAGGTGAGTACTCACCCCTTAACATGATCATGCTCATTTTGTCACACATTTCACACATACTTATGAAAAATCACTATCTTTTTCCACCTAAGAACTAAAAAATATTTATTATTTCAAAAGTAGTTTATAATGCACAAGTAAAATCATCTTTCACAACATGCCAAGCTTTCAAAACACATGTAAACAAATATGTTTATCTACTCACAAACAGTTAAGCAATATAATCAATTAATGTAAATTATTCTGTTACTTAAACCCTTTATCACACAAAAGGGTTACAGTGGTTCAACATTAGCTCTACATGCTTTATATGCATAGTATAGAAACACTCAGTCTATACAATCAAGTGACAATTATCAATTATCACTCTGAATAAACTCTAAATTCACTAGGTTCTAAGTACCCATAACACTCAAATTCCTTATCTAACAATATCAACCCTCTTAAAATACTCTAACCATCTTATTAAACATCCCAACATATCAAAATCACCATCCAACTATCCATGTTATCCAAAAATTCTCAAATTATGCCTAAGATTTGTCCAAACCCTAGCCAAAAATTCTAAATCACTATAAAACTCATAAACCTAGGGTTAGAGGCTTGCTATAACTCTCCAAGACCTTAAATAAACTAATGGGTTCAATCCAAAAGAAGCCCCACAATACCTCTTAAATTTGAAATTTTGCATAAAGAGGGAGGAGAGGGAATGTCAAACTTACCCAATGATGATTAAAGTTCCAAATCCATCCAATGTGGTATAAAGGTCGTGCCTTAGCAATATATGAGCTCTCTTCATCGCTCTCTCATTTTTCTTTCTTTCTTCCTTCTGATTCCGGTCTATTTTTCGCGACTGGTAAATGTTGATTTTGCAGGTGCGTCATGGTGCATTGACATGCCTACAGTGGCACATGGCACAAAAAGTCTCTTATCAATTTAAACCTTCTTTCATGCCATGACCCGCTCAAACTTCAACCTAGCCTTCTTCTAAGATTGTCCAAGGATCTATAAACTATATTAGTCTCCCATAAATGTCATTAATAAATAATTCATCTAATTTGACTAAAATACCCTTATAAATACTAATAATTCTTGATTTGGAAACTTAGAATGTTACACTTATAGCCCATATGGACTGAAAATTATCATTATTATCCAAACCCTAACTCCCAACACTAAGAAATAGAAGGAGGTAGGAAGATTAAAGCTTAAAAACCTTACCTTTGGTGTTTAGGGGCTTAAGAACACTTCAAATCTTCAAGTCCTTGAAGACTTAGCACAGCTCTTTAGTTGCTCTCTTGTATCCCTTTATTTTTTCTCTCTTCTTCTACTTCATTTCGTGACTGTATTTCAACATAAAAGTAACCATGTCATGCAGTGGACGCACAATGTGCCGTGATGCATGGCATAGTGAGGGCCTCCCTAGGCGTGTCAGTATACATGTGCCGTAGCAACTTGGTTCATAAGCCGCAGCTAGTGACAGAGCTTTTCCCTTCAAATTTTTCCCCTTTTTTCATTTCCAGGTGACTCGACTTCCTTCAGATTTGCGTTTAGGGTTGGAAAAATAACCAAACATACCTGTCAGGCCTTTCTAGCCACACATCTCTCTAATAAACTCCATTGAATGAAGTTTAGGCTTAATTAATTTGGTTTAAAATTTAAGGATGTTACAACTAGATTAATAGAAAATTCAACCTCATGATCTAGAGGTAACCCAAATATATCCTGAGAAAATATCTTAGCAAATTCATTAACCACACTAATTTTATTAATAGCCCTGTTATACACCTCTTGCACAAAAAAGAATACCATAAACTTAGGATTAAAGGCTTGATTTAACTCCCTAAGACCTTAACAAAAGCAATGGGTTTGGTCTAAACTTAAGAAAAACACGAAATCCATCCCATTTTGCTTAAAACTCACAAATTTTGCATGTATAGAGAGAGGAAGATATGAAGGAAGGTTACCCAAGATGTAGCAAACTCAATGTGCTTTTAAGATAATGTTGGGAGCAAACCTCAACAGCCCTAATCCTTTCTTCTTTCGCTCCTTTTGTTTTCTTTCTTTCCTCTTCTATGAAATTAGACATGTTTCACATCTAGTTTATGCCATAATTTGGCTGTTGCCGCAGCGCGTCGTGCGTGCGCCACGACATATGGCACAGAAACTGCCATATGCCTTTTTGGGCACCCTTTTCGAGCTCAATTGATCGTTACACCATCTTAGTTCTTTTCCAAAGCTGTTCAAAGATCAAATAGCTTTATTAGTGTCCCAGAACACCTTTAGTTTAAAGATAACATATTTTGACCAATTTGCCCTTCTTAAAGACCTAAGGTCCCAAGTTGAAAACTTAGGATGTCACACCGTCTTCCTCTTGTGATAGTGCAAATACTTTATTGGGAATGGTAGATCTCTACTTAGATGTCTCGAACTTACCTTCAGTGCTATATCTCAAAAGGTGGCTCACCTTTCCATACTTAAAACAAGTCCAACATTTCCCTATGTGGAACCATCTACGCCTCGCACACTGTGGAGATTGTGAAGTATTGATAGTAGGAGCAAGCATGGTAGAAGCCTGATGTGATGGTTGTGGTGCCCTTGCACTGTTCTGCTACCACTCTTTTAAAGAGAACCCAGGGACAATGATTCCTTTGTAAAGCTTTTCTTCTACCTGTAGCTCCCTGAGCTGCTAGACCTATACCCTGATCTCTTTAACACTCCTAGTAGGACCTAGAGTAGATAGATAAGCATTATCTTCTATATTAATTTTTTATATGTATTATTTTTAAAAAATTATTTTAAATGAGATGACCAGTCAACTAAAAACATTGGATTGACAAAAAATTCTTGCATGAATCTAGCATACTATGTCATTCATGATCTGTTCAATAAAAACATGCCATGGTATATAACTATAAATATAACTTAGTTTTGTAATTGATAATGATAGAGAGAGAGAGAGAGAGGACAAAAAAAATTAAAGAATTACTCTATTTTAAAATAAAGTCATTAAAAATAATACTCTCTGTATTTTAAATTATAAAATACTTTTAGAAAAAATTATGCATGTTAATAAAGTTTATTAAATACACTTTATAATCTTATTTTTTCTTGATAAAAATATAAACTCACAATTCTCTATTTAATACTTTATTTGTGAAAGAATAGTACAGAGATATAATATATGGAATGAGTGATATATTTAAAAAGCATAACTAATAAAGCTTAATTTTTATTAAAATGTTTTGTACTTTAAAATGTTAAACTTTTTTTAAAATATTTTATAATTTAGAATGAAAAAAAGTAAAAAAAAATTCATTTAATTAAATTAGTACAATTTTATTAATAAAATATAAATAACATCATATATCAGGTACAAAAGTCTCTCTGAGTCACTATTATTTCTACCACAATGTTCACCGTATCATCTCTCTTCATAATTGCATCCTCCACTTGAACGCTCAAGTTCCTCTTATTTTTCTTTGTTCTTTCCCTGCGTCGTCTCCTCCTCTCTCACTCACATCATGGCTTCTCCTCTGACTCTTCTCCATACCCTCACCTCTACCACTCCTTCTCTTTCCCCTTCAAACTTCTTCATCATCATCAACAACCCCAAACCACTTCTTCCGCTTTCAACAAAACCCAGATCATCTCCCTCGTCAATCAAATGCTCTTCTTCTTCTTCTTCTTCTTCAATTATCTCAAGCTTAATCCCAGAACTACACCAACACAATGAACAAGATGGTGAACCAGTTTTACTTGAAGAAGAAGAGCCTCCCTTGCATGAAATCTGGAGACAGATTCAAGGCTGTAATGACTGGGAAGGATTATTGGATCCCATGAACCCTCATCTTCGCAGAGAAATCATTCGCTATGGTGAAATCGCTCAGGCTTGTTACGATTCCTTCGATTTCGATCCTCACTCTAAGTACTGTGGAACCTGTAAGTACCATCCTTCTGATTTCTTCGACAAGCTCGACATGGCCGGCGTCGGCTATGGCATCACTCGCTACCTCTATGCCACCTCTAACATCAACCTCCCGAACTTTTTCCAGAAGTCGGCGTCGCTCCGGAGCATCTGGAGCCCCCATGCTAACTGGATGGGCTTCGTCGGCGTCGTCAATAACGCCGGCGAGATAAACCGGTTGGGCCGCCGTGACATAGTTATCTCCTGGAGAGGCACCGTGACGTACCTGGAATGGATTTATGATCTGAAGGATATACTTCGGCCGGCTAATTTCAGAGATGATGATGATCTTCACAGCGTTAAGATTGAATCTGGATTCTATGACTTGTACACCAAGAAAGAGAATTCTTGCAATTACTGCTCGTTCTCGGCGCGTGAGCAGATTCTCGCCGAAGTGAAAAGGCTAACTGAGTACTATGCAGACGAGGAGCTTAGCATTACGATCACAGGACATAGTCTCGGTGCTGCGTTGGCGATTCTCAGTGCTTATGATATTGCAGAGATGAATCTCAACGTCGTCAACGACGGTCGCGTTACCAGAAAGATTCCGATCACCGTTTACTCCTTTGCCGGCCCCAGAGTTGGGAATTTGAAATTTAAGGTATTAACTCAACTCAACATAAATAAATAAATTAATTAAGGAAGAATGACGATAAAGTTTTAAAAGAATGAATTAATGAAAATTGAGTCCTGAAAATATTTTTTGTAAAATAAAATATAAATATTAATTTAAGTAGTTATAAATAAGAACAAAAATTGCAAACTAATTGTTGTATTTAGAATTTAAATATCATATTTGTAAATAAAACTTTTAAATTTACATCAGTTCAAATTGATATTTAAAATTGATTTTTTTAAAAATTTTATTGAGAATTTAATTGTTATTAATTTTTTCTTTAAAACTTAACTATCATTCTCTCATAAATTAATGACATTTAGATTCTTGATATAATTTTTTAAAATACAATTTATAAATATTTATTTAAATAAGATAATATTGAAGTTCTCAATATAATTTTTCGTTAGCAAATGGGATTATTGTTTGTAACTATATGAATTGATATTTAGGACTATTTTTTTAAAAAAAAATTATTGAGAATCTATCTATTATTAATTTGATATTTTGAGACTTTATTGTTATTCTTCCTATTAACTCAAAAGCTCAAATTTTTTAATGCAATTTTTTTTATAACGAAGTTGATTGTGATTGTTTGATTTGTTAATGTGCGGATCATATTAACAGGCCATATTGCAGATAAAAAGGGGGACTGCATGATATATTTTTTTGGACTGGAGATCATGGTGATCAAAATTTGAAAATAATTTAATTTTTGTTTAATATTTTATATTCTTTTTTTAAAAAAAATGAATATCCATTTAGTTTTTAATCATTAAAATATACTTGAAATATATGTTTCTTCTCATTTCATTGTCATCCAAGATTATTCACTGCAATTAAAAAGGATGAAGTTGAGAAAAATCTATATGCAAAGCCAAGATCCACAGGGCTTTAAGTTATTTTTGAATTATTTTTGGTTTCAGAATTAACCTTTATTGAACATAATTAACTCTTTGTTTTGTATAATTTATGTGTTGATTAATACTAGGAACGGTGCGAGGAGCTTGGAGTGAAGGTATTAAGAGTGATCAACGTGCACGACAAGGTACCAACAGTGCCTGGAATAATAACCAATGAGAAGTTTCAATTTCAGAAGTACATTGAAGAAACCTTATCTTTTCCATGGAGCTATGCTCATGTTGGAGTAGAGCTTGTTTTGGATCACACACAAAGCCCATTCTTGAAGCCCACCAATGATTTGCTCTGTGCCCATAACTTGGAGGCCCATTTACACTTAGTTGATGGCTACCACGGTCGAGGACGGCAGTTTGACTTGGTGAACAAGAGAGACATTGCGCTTGTCAACAAGAGTTGCGACTTTCTCCGGAGTGAGTATGAAGTTCCTCCGTGTTGGCGACAGGACGAGAATAAAGGGATGGTGAGGACTAGCGATGGCCGGTGGGTAGTGCCAGAGCGACCGAGAATGGAGGCACACCCACCAGACACAGCACACCTCTTGGAGAAAGTCCTAAAGATCAAAAATGGCGGTTTGAAATTGAGAGACACATGAAAAGTTTCATCTAGTTTGATTTAGTTTAGTTTGAAAAAAATTTGGAAACTTCTGGTGTGAACATAGTTTAATCAACATGGGGTAATTGACACATGCTTTTTGCGGTGGTCCAATGTGTTATGTTGAATTTAAGTACCAAAGGTCGACCAACATATATATGTGTGCGTGTGTATATATGCACAAGGACAAGGGTGGTTGTCTGATATAAGGACACGTGCTGTTTGATATGAGGATATGAATTTAATTACAAGTCTTGTAATATATTTTTAAGACAAAGAAGAATTTTTTCATCTTTAAAAAACATGTCGTTATTTTTTATCATAAGTTTTCCTTTTTATGCTCTCATTACAATTATTAAAGTTTTAGATATAGACATAGTTAATAAGTTAAAGTTTTTCTTAATTTTGATAAAATATGTTGATTAAATAATATAAAATTTTAAAAAATTAATGAAAAATTATGTAACTTAATTAAACATTTGATCAGTTATATGAAAATTATGGATTAAGCGTGGGTTCATCGTTCCTGACAGTAGATCTCAGCCCTCCTCTAGTCATTCTTCTATCCTGAGGGTGAAAGTTACCATAAGAAGGGTTAGAATGCAGTTCAATTATTCTAAACTATGCAAAAAGGAAAACATGTGTAAGGAATATATATTGCCAATATTTTTAGATGTTTAATGTGCAATGTGTCCAAATACAAGTGCAAACACACATACACCAACTCTTAAAACTTGAGAGCTTGATATCAAATTTGTAATGTCCTAGACATTAACTACTAATAATCACAATCAATCATAATACTTAAAGCCAATTAATTAAATAAGGAAAGTATTGAAGGAAGATGGATCAACATTTGATGCGCCTAGCTTTCAAATTAAATATCTGATTGCGGTGATCCAAATTCCTACACAAAGCTAATTAAATAATCCAACCAATGGCTTTAGCCTTACCACTTATCAATATTATATGGGAATTTTGGACACTTGTGGACATAAACAACTCATTAAATACTTAAACCATCAACCAAGTGTCCATCCCTTCATACTATAGCCATTAGCATCCTTAGACCACTCCAAACATCTCATAAAGCATAATGTCTAAACCTTTCATGTATCACAATTCAGCACATAACCACAATTCATCTCTAAACCACATAACCAAGTTGGAGATATACAACAATCCTTTCAAAAAAAAAATGCAAAATTCATGATATGCACACACCTGCACCTCTTGACCCATAACCAAAAACATGCAAGGGTCAGTACCAAAAATGCCTAGGTCAAATGATAGGCTCATACAAGTGAAATATAGTTTAACTAATACAAAATCCCTAATGTTGGCAAATAAGTACTCAAAATACACACTTAAGAATATCTAAAAAGTTTACAATCTACTCTAGCTTATGATGCTTCCCCCTTTACTTTACTCTTACCATCTCCTAAACAAGACATTAAACCATAAGAGTGAGATGATAAAATTATAGTAACCATGAGCATAAATTCAAGCATATGAACATATAGCAAATAAAAGCATGTACAACACAAAATCACCATTAATGGATTGAAATCAGCCTTTGAAGTCAAAAGTTTTATGGGATTGGCTGGCTATTACTAAAGGTATATGCAAAGATTTTTATAGATTGTAGATTCCTTGACTAAATTGATTAAGTAGGATCAATCATTCATTTGGGATGAAAAATGCGAAGCCACATTCCAAGAATTGAAGAGACATTTGACTAACACACCAATACTTGTGGTTCCTAATCTTAAAGAGTCGTGCACTGTCTACATTGATACTTAAAGGACTAGGTTGTGTCTTAATGTAGAATGAAAGAGTAGTGGCATATGTCTCAAGGTGGCTAAAGCCATATGAGAAGAATTATTTAACTCATGATCTTGGGTTAGTGGCAATGGTTTTCACACTCAAGATATGGCGTTACTACTTCTATGGAGCTACTTTTGATGTGTACAGTGACCATAAGAACTTGAAGTACTTGGTAGACTAGAAGAAGTTGAATATGAGACAAAAGTGATGAATGGAATTCTTGAAGGATAATCACTTTGAATTGAAATGCCATCTCGAGAAGGTGAATGTAGTCGTCGATACCTTGAGTCATAAGACTATACATATGGCCAGTTTAATGATTAACAACCACTCATTGCTTGAGGATATGATAAGCGAGACTTTTAGTAATCATCATATATTTGCAACACTAGTTCAGACGATGGAAGTCACCAATTAGTTTTGAAAGGAATTTAAAGAGGCTTAGATGAAGGATGACTTTTTATTGAAGGTAAGAGAAGAGATTGAAGTAAGAAATACTTTTAAGTTTGGATTTAATGATGATGGTTTTATAACTTACCAAGATCATATCCGTGTGCTGAATGACCCTAAGATAAGGAAGTTGATTCTTGAGGAGGCTCATCAAAGTAAATATACCATTCATTCTAGTACCACCAAGATGTACTATGACATGAAGAGAACATGGTAGTGGCAAGACATGAAAAGGAAGTCGAATAATTTATTATGAAGTATCTAACTTGTTAGAAGGTGAAGATTAATCATCAAAAACTGAAAGGGTTATTACAGAGTTTAGAAATATCAAAGTGAAAATAGGATAGTATGAACTTCATATATACATTTCCAAGGACATTATTAGGGAATGATTCAGTTTGGGTGATCATCATAGATTAACTCACAAAGTCAGCTCACTTTTTAGCTATCAAGATCTCTCATCTGTTAGAGAAACTGAAAGAGATGTACATTTAGGAAATAGTGCAATTTCATAAGGTGCCTAAGAACATCATTTCAAATAAGGATTTAAGGTTCACCTTGAACTTTTAGAAAGCCTTATACAAGGCTATAGGTACTCGACTAAAGTATAGTATTGCTTACCATTCATAAACAGATGGTCAAATAGAGAGGATGCTTTAGACCTTAGAGGATATGCTAAGGGCATATGCAATTGAGTTGGAAGCCAACTGGGATAGCCATTTGCTCTTGGCCGAGTCTACCTATAATAACAGTTATCACTTAAGTATACAGATGGCTCTATTTAAGGCTCTGTATAGAAGGAATTGAGCAAGAGGAGTTTATTAGGGTTGGACTTGGTGGATTAGACCACTAAGAAGATTGAATTGATTAAGCGAAAGTTATTGATGTAACATCTTAGATTTCAATTCTAGGAATTTTAGGTGTTTAGAAGGGTAAAGTGGTAAAATTAAGTGAATTTTTGATTAACGATATTTTTAGAAGACTAATATAGCTAATGAATCATTAGGCAGCTTTAGAAGAGGGCTAGATTAGAGTTTGATTGGGCTGTGGCATGAAGAGAGGTTGGAAACATGTATGGGATTCTCTATACCATGTGCCAAGATGCATGTGCAAAAATTTGCACTTATCAGTTTGCGAATTAGACTAAAAAATAGAAGAAAGAAAGGGTAAACATGAGAGTGGCAATGAATAGTGACCTGAGTCTCTTAAGGCTTGACTTTGGGAGAGATTTGAAAGCATTTGGGAGCTTGATTGTTGTTAGGTAAGTTTTCTATCCTCCTCCTTCCTCCCATATACAAATTTTTTGAAGGTTGTGGTAATGTGGGGCTTAGATTTTGTTCTTATGTTACAACTAAACCCATTGGCTTAAATAAGTTATTGGGGAATTAAATTAAGCTCTAATCCTAGGTTTATGGGTTTTGTATGGATTTGGAATTGTTGGCTAGGGCTTGGACAAACCCTAAATAGAAATTGGGAGATTGAGAGCAATGTGGGCAATGAAATGGTGTTATTTATGTGTTTGGGTGTTAAATAAAATTAATGGAGTGTGTCATGAGAATTGTTGAGGTAAATTGAGATTTTAGGCGGTATGGATGCCTAAAATTGTGTTAAAATAGAGTAATTAATGTGTGGATTGATGAGTTTAATGTTGTATATTAGTATTAATCAAGCTTTATGTGATAGTGGTTGCGTGTGGAGTCATTTTTTGACCACGGTAACATGTTTGGTGACAAAAGGATTGGGGTAACCGGATTGTCTAAACTCTCTATTTACGTGTTTGGATGGCTGTGTGATTGCTTTTAAATCTAATGCTCTTGTTTTGAATTATTATAGTATTAATATGAAATGATTATGATTTAAAAACTATGTGAAGTGTAATTGAAAGTTATGCTTTTAGTGTTGTGGTTTTTGAAAGCAAAATGCTATTTTTAAGTGTAATTATTTGCGAAACTCTATGTTTGAATAGAAATGAACATTTTAGTGAAAATTATATGTTATGACTATGTGTTGGATCATTGAGCATATGCTTGGCATGATCATTGTGAGAGGGTAAGAGTTCACCCTAGTGTGCTGTTGGGGACATTATTTAGAAATCCACATGATACACTGGCACTATGGAGGCCCTAGTGCTCAGTATTATATTATTTAAAAGTCCCAGTACTAAGTAAGGTAGATTAGGAATCGACACCCCTATTATTCATAGATAGGGAGAATCTATGGTCTATAGTGGGTGAAAGCACTTTTGGCTGAGGCTGCCTCTTATAAATGATGAGTTTGAGCCAGTCCAGTCACATAGACTTGGTCTTATCGAGTTGTCAGCTCACAGACTCAGTCGAAAGATATAAAGAGAGTATAATATGGTGTGTTGATCATGCATATCATAGTATAACTGTATATATGGATATATGACTTATTATATGTTTTTAATGCCATTTCACATACGCATTATATGTTCTTACACACGAATAGTTTAGTTAGACTATTTGGTTATTGAGTCCTTGACTCACCCCATGGTTATATTTTATAGGTGAAGCCTCCGATGGAGTTAAGGGGAAGGAAGGTACGACCGAGCATTGAGGGGACTAGCTAGTAATTGTATAGTTTTTCTCATTGATTTTGGTTTTGTAATGAATTGCATATGTATGCTAACTTAGGGATTATATGTCGTTTTGACAGTACTTGCATGAACTCTATTATAAACTATAAGTATCTCAGCCTGAGATGATGTATTTTTATTGTAATGGCTATAAGAGGTCGAGATACTAGTGTAAGTGTTATTTTTGTGTTGATTCATGTGCTAGATTGGCTAATGGTGAT